CCAACAGTGCTTTCAGTAATTTACTTAGCAAAAGTAGCTGATCACAGTAAACATCATTTAAAAGGCCTATTACTATCCTTGCTTTTCAGTAAGATAGAGCCAGTTATGTTTAATTAAAATAATGAGTGGCTTATACTGTCTGAAAATCTACAAACTAGTCAGTCCGAACTGTGGTCTCCATATAAAATCTGAACAAATTAGCTTACAGAGCTGTTTCCAAATAAATGAGCTTTGTTTAGGCAGTTTGCAGGTTGAGGCTATCTGTTCTCCAGCACTGGGATCTTTATTTATACAGTCTTTATTTATCTAATCTTTATTTTTGCACACATGCTGCACTGCTCAAATGTACAAGTTGTAAGATAGCACACTCATGCAAATTTTTAATTTAATTAAAGGGCCACTATCATTAAAAACTGAATTTTCCTCAAAGTTTGGAGAGTGGGCTGTAATAGGTAAACATTATAAAAGTTTCAAAACGGACCATTCACCACCCAGTCCATACAGTCCATTTATATGAACTAAGCTGCAAAAAACAGCCCATTCTGAATGAATTGTTTCTATGATGTAGACAAAAAAAGATTTTGTGAGATCACAAAAATCACAGCTTTTATAAAAAGCCACCTATTCAGTCTACAGCAGTTAAGTCCCACCCGTTCACAGTGAAATTAGAAGACATGTTTCAGCCTGGACTGCTTTTTGAATGAAGCACAAGCCAATCAAAACAGAGCTCATTTACATATATCAGTCTGAAACACAGTAACAAAAACAGCCTGGTTGGAAAATAGTCAGATAAAAATGAATAACGTTTTTGACGCATAAGTGCCATGTGCTGCCTAGGTGGAAAATAATATACAAGAAAAATGTAGGATATGAGCCCTTTAATATTGCTCTTTTAGAGATATTTGAGTATCAAAGTAACAAAAATCACATTAAGTCAGTAATTGTAATGTGATTTACAAGAATGTAAACTGTGATGAGTTACAGTACTTCATTACAGTCATCATTTTGTTCCGTGTTACCCTCAACACTGGTATTGGCAGAGGTTTGAAAGGATTTATCAGCATCTGACTAAGCATTTAGATCAGGCTAGTTAGATTCAAACTGATATTTGATGCCATGTTTATTGTACTCCAGAGGGGCGGAGTGTATAGATGAAGCTGGGCTGCTGTGCTAAAACATCAGTGTTAAAAATAAATGATAAATGTCTCTGGAGTGCTAATCCAGGTCTAGTCCCAATGTCTACATCTTATAAATGTTTGCATATTGGCATCAGCAAATAAAAAGCCCATATCGGTGCATCCCTAATCTGACCACACGTTTTGCTTCAACTAAGATTCTTTAAGCAACAGTGAATGCAAATTTAGTGGTTCAATTAGATGAGTGACTGTGTGAGTCCAGCTGGTAATGATTTTGATACACAAATGTTTGTTTCAAAATTATTTTTCAAAATGTCCCAAGAATAATTTTGGCCAACAAATGAGTGCCTTTACATTATAGTATATATATTATTGTTATATTATATTATCCATTATATTAATAGATTCTAACATGCTGAAGTGTATGTAGTTGAGTCTACATCTTTCGTTAATTTTTAAACCCTTAATGAAAAGATTAAAAATGTATTCTTACTTATTATGTACCTGCTCTTTCATAGCTGCTGCTGAAGATGATGGGCAAGAACTAAGGAGACGTCACTGGTCATCAGATCATCAGACAGTGCACTTCTTTATCACAGCCTAGAATTTTGTCTGGTTTTATTACAGTACTTCACATTCTCCCACCAAAAACAGATTATATCAACAGTTATCTTTACCACCATGCTTGACTGCTCTGTCAGACTGTCTGTCAGTGGATGGAATCTTGTTTAAATTCATCTTGGTTAAATTCTGTTACAGGCTATTTTCACATCTCCCCATTCTGCCCAGCAAGGCTTCCGTGTTTGATGTGAGCTAGTATTGTGTCCAGTCTGCAGTACGTTCCGGCTGTGATTCATATCACTGTGAATCCATTCACTTGAACGCTTGTCTTTTTTTTTTTCTTTAATGCGACTTGTTCATGTCTCAGTTCATTAAATCTTTCTGTGATTTGTATGATGATTCATACCATCTACTGCAGGGGTCAAATCACATAGAGGTCACCCATGAATGTAGCAGCACTTTGTAATCGTTGTGCATAGTTGTAATTTGCAGCACACGACAGAATTAAACCGTGTTGATATTTGATTTACTCAAATATCGTCCTCAGTAACATCCTTAGAATATTAGATATTTTTGCACTGTTGAAATGTGTTGCTAGTTATTGCACAGTTTATTTTTACTTAAAGTTGATCTCATCATACTTATGTGGCACAGAGGTAGCAAGTCTGGCCGCTCAGATGTGTTGTTAATGCAAACTACGGGTCTAATGTTTACAAATGTAAGTATTAATACTGTAAGAAAAAATGAAAATAAAAATGCTCATATATGAGAAACAGTTGTTCATCAGTGTTTAATCCATGACATTTATGTCACACTAGGGTATAACACAAGCCTTTTAGTAGCGTTCCTCGCGTGTCAGCCACATCAATGGGCACATTGTCCACTAAAACAACAAAGCCTCTGTTTTCCTATTGTGGAACTAACCTACACTGTTATGTCTACTATGTGCTGCTTGCTTATAGGCAGTGTTTCCAACTATGAGTCAAATTACATTAATAATCATATTATAAATAATAATAAAATCTAATTTATTTCCATAACACCTTTCAAACCTAAAAATGTAGCTCAGTGTTGTGAATAAAAAATAAAAGAATTCTGAAATTGCATGAAATATAACGAAATACATTTAAAGAAATTTAAATTAAAGTAATTAATAATGTAGTATGAACACTATAGCTAATAAAAATATATATCAATATATAGAAATAAATAACTATAAAAATAAATCAAATTATGGGACATGTATTCCTGCTTGCTCATAGATGATGATGATGGGTCCAAATGACAAACTAAAAGTGCTTCACCAAAAAATGTAAACAAGCAAAGCATAAATTGGAAAAGAACAACTAAAATGTATATTTTGGATTGTATAAGAAAGGGAATAATACACATAAATGTAAATACATACACAGAATAAAAAGCAATGGAGATAAAACAGTTTTAATAAATAAAACAAATTTAAAAGGATGTAATGCAATGTAAATGAGCAGAAAGACCTGAACGTGAAAGCCAAGTGTCATATTACACGCGTGTGTCACGTGACCCGGTGCGTTGGCACTTCTCCTGAGCGTTCGCATGGCCGTTATTTTGTTTTCCCACCCGTATTCAGACAAACCCCGCCTCGTTAGTCAGAAGTAGCCCGTAAAGTCATGTATTCTTATTGTTATAAATATTTTATTCTCATATTACACACTTATCATCTAATCCTTTCTTTCTTTCTTTCTTTCTTCCTTCTCTCCTTCCTTCCCTTCTTTCTTTCTGTCAAGCTTGTCCACCCGCTGCTTGTGAGTGACCCATCAGCCAATCGTAGCACAGGAGGAGGGGCCTGTCCGAATACGGGTGGGAAAAAAACGATAACGCTTTGAGGTTGTAGGGAGGTTGCCAACTCGGCGTTTCGTAAAAGATGGAGTGGAGGTAGAGTTATAGAACTTCAAACTGCCTGAAGACTTTACACCAAAAAGCCACGCCGGAGGCACAACCTGTACGGTATGTATTGCGTTTTATCTTCAGTGAAAACACAAACCTTTTTACGCTCAAACTGTCAATTTTCTTTTAAGCTTTGAACCCTGTTAGCTAGCCGAGTCCGGTTAGCTCTGACAGCGCTGTAACTGTGTGGTTCAGAGTTTCAGCGACAGCCTGAATTTCTGTTGAGTCATAGGCTCCCTGTAACACTGCTGTATACACAGTGCGTTGCCCATGTCATGACAGGCACCACCACTAATTCCGCTGTGGGTTTAGGTTAGTTTTATTTTGTTGGTTCCGCACCTGCACTTTGTGCTGTTGCTCACATCTCTCAATGCTGAACCTCAGCACGTCGTGTTAGATCAAAAGCATCAACACCAGAAGAGCAGAGCCTAAACCTTAGTTCTTGTGCTGATACATGTTGGATGCAGTTCTTTTGGGAACATCAGGGGTACTTGAGGAGTTCTTGGACCAGGAAAAAGGTGGTTCTTTAGTAAAGAAGTGGTTCTAGAGCCATGCACACTCAAATGACCCTTAAATGGTTCTTTGCATGGTGAAATGGCTCTTCAGATTGATGGAGAATGTGTTCAACCATGCCAATATAAATACAGTTTTCCTTTTTATGGCACCTTTAAAGGGCACATATCATGAAAAAATCAATTCTTTTTGAAATAAAAGAGGTTGATGTAGAATATAAACACTGTTAAAGTTCCAAAATGTACCTTTCACCCCTCAGTCTATACTGTATGTAGAAACTAAGCTGCAAAGACGTTTTTGAAACATTTTGAATTCACTGTTTTTGTGATGTCACAAAAACCAGTGCATTTACATATATCCACCTATTCTGCCTGAAGTACTTTAGCCCCATTCACACTGAAGCTACAGAAGAGCGTTTAGTTGTGGACTACTTTTTAGTTTGGTGCAAAACAGGGCAGCCAGAGATTATTTACATATATATCAGTCTTAAAGACACAGTAACAAATAATAGAGCGACAAAGTGATATAAAAAGGTTGGATAACGTGCCATGTACAAATTAATTTTGACATTATTTGCTTCATAAAACCACACCAATGTCAAAGGTGGACCTCAAGAAAAATGTCTTATATGAGTGCTTTAATAATGAATGAGTGTATTAGGCTAACAGCTCCTCGGGAGGTGGGCTTAAGTTACAGTGATGACGCCTTCTCTGTAGTTGTCATTCTTTAGAGTCGTTGCACTGACAAGCAAGTGATAACGGCTTTGTCTCTGGGTTTTTTCGTGCCTGCCCTTTGACACAGAAGTCTCCAGCACTTAAGCTAATCAATAAACCGAGCCAGTGAAAGTTCAAATCTCTGTATAGGTAAAGTTCACCACTGAAGAGTAAATTTGCCTTAGTCACCGTTGAGAGGCTTAACTGTTTCCTAGATGAAGACAGAGAGGAAGAGGATGAAAAGAGAGAGAGGGAGAAGGAATCAGTTTGTTCTGGCAAGCAAGCAAGCAACAGCATTGTGAATGGACAGAAGGAAAAAAGAGCCGCGAGGAGCGAAGGAAAGAAAAAAGGGTAAATGGTACACTTGTCCCAAGTGGCTGTTTTTGGTTGTGGGCGTATCACATTGTCTGCTTTTTAACTTAAAGTTGTCTCTGAGGCTGATTTTAAAGAATGAAGAGGGTTTCGTTTTTGAATGACAGCGTGTTTGTAGCGTTACAGTTCTGGGAGTTATTGAAAACCAAAGACCGTCAAAGTTTCTGGTCACCTCTAAAGTGTTTACAATCAAAACAACTTTGTATTTCAGTAAATAATGGTTGACGTTTTCTTAGATTACAGTTTCAAGAAACAGTTTAACCTTTTACAGAAAGAGTACTTTATGCCTAGAGCCTCTTTAAAATCCAAATTAACTGAAACATTGGCATGGAAATTTCCATTTTATAGGGAAATGATGGTGGTGTCGAGTGAAATAAGCTGAGGATTATGGCTTTTGTTGTTTATTGTTTTCGGCCGGGTCCGCTTGCAATGTTGTTGAGCTGTTAAACTGGCTCTGTTCCTTTGTGTAGTCAGCTTCTAACACTAGTTATGTAAGGAGAGCTGGGTCACAATGAACCACTCAGGAATTGTGTGGGCTTCACCTTTACCTACTCTGCCTTATGGGTTTCATACTAGCCCTGTCATGATTACACAACTAAACACGATTTCTCTATTTATAAGAAAGTCATGTAAAATGTACCTAATGTAAATGATTAGTTGTCAATTTGTATGATGGCAGTGCTTATTTTATATGCTCATACTGGTCATTATTGCAGTGTAAAGTGGCTGATGGACTCTTTTTTATTTGTTTGTTTGTTTCTAAACAAGTTTTTAAACCTTTTTACAGGCATATTTATCAGGGATGCATGATGAGATTGATCTGATCGCAGTTCTTTCCACAGTTGTCAGCTTTCACAATCAAAGGTTTATGTTGCAACCGAATGCAAGTTGCGTGCAATAATTTGGACTGAAGAAATGCATGTAAATAAAAGAAATCAGGAATGTATTTATTGAGACAAGTCATGGGTCTTAACGAAAACAACAAAAGTTTAACGTGTTTGTTTAACTAACTGGTGCTGTGTCACAGTGGTGAGTAATATCTGTTTATTTGATGTTTGTTAATAACACTTTTAGAGGACGACAATGAGTAATGTCTGTTTGTTTGACGAAAAAGAATTAAATTGTTAATCTTAAAAAAAATTAATGATTGTTAGGCTTATTTATAACCCTACAAAAAACATTTTTCACAGTACTAAGGTAGTACTCTGTAATACTCCAGTAAATTTAGTCTCAAATTGTAATTTTTATAATCGTTTATATATTGGCATGAGCAGATATGCACATGAAAAATGTTGGATATCAGCATCAGCCCACAGTTCCTATATCAGTGCATTCCTAATGTTTATTTATCTTTTTATAATGAAGTCATTTTTAAGTTTCGTTCAGTTAAATCCATTGAAGTCCATTAAAATTAGTTTGGCTTTAAATATATACAAAGATGGAGAAACCTTGGACTTTCATCCCCCAGTTTGTCCACTTGGCTGTTGTAATTGGTTAAGTTCATGAAGAATTTTGTACAAGGTTCGCCTGGACATGAAAGTTTAGTGTTGCTTCATTAGTAATATAGTAATTACACAGCGAGGACTCACATTAGGATGCTGTAATTACTCTGTGTATTGGTAGCCATATAGCCACATTGTCCATGTTATTTGATACTGCTCAGCTAATTAGCCTCTAAGGTACGGCACAGGTGTGAGTAGGGTATTCTCTAAGGAAGAGCTGAATAAAGCAGACTAGGGAAAATACATACACAGTTTTAGTAAATTTCATAGACCTTCTTGGATATAAAAACAATGTCTTAGAACTGTCAATCTATGGGGTAAATGCTGTAAATGCTGTATATGGCTTTATTGTTATACATTATTATTCCGCTTCGCCTTTCTGTTCACTGTTTGCTCCAGTGGACGTTGAGATTCAATAGTGGATAAAAGCTAATGAGGGAAAGCTTTAAGTATTAACAGTAACAGACTGTAAGGAAGAATTATCCTGAGCTGTTGTGTAGACCTGCACAATATATTGCTTGGTAATTATTATCATGATATTGGCCTTTGTAATACTGAAGTCCTAGTAGTCTATGACATGTAAACGAGCCCTTTTACCAATCACAGAAATTGAATGTTGTCCTCTGTGAGCATCTTGACCAGTCACAGTTTCAGAGTATTTCTCATCTGGGAGTTTGATGAATCAGTGTATTGATCTAATCCAGAAAAATGGTCAAAATAATGAAGGTCAGTCTTTTATTTTACCTTTTGTGGACAACACAGAAACGTGGCTATTTCTGCTGTTGAATGTGCTCTTTTCCATTAATCATGTGTTTCTTTTATACTACTTGAACAAGAAAACACATGATTAGAAATGTATCTCATTTATCAGTTGAAAATAAGCACTTACTGATCAGAACTCTGCTTTGAACAAACTCCCGCACTCACTCAAAAAATCACAGTGCATCCAACAGTAACGGAAGCTTTGTGCATCTTTTATACTGTGATGGAAAACATGTTGGCGAGTGGCAATTCTGTGAGTCATAGCAGTGTTTGGTTTCTTTTCTGTGTCATAAAGATATTTGACAGAATTGAACAGGTGAATTGTTTTTGCAGCACAGTGTTCTCACTCTTCCCTTTTCTCCCTGTATTGCTCACTAGCAGCTCAACACAGAGTCACGTTATTTCACACACAGAGAGCCAACAGTGTCCTAGGTAATCTGATACAGGGTTGTGGGGAGAAAGTCATTCATTTGATTATATTGATTAAAAATCTGGTTCTGGTGACAGAATGGCCCCTAGGAGGTCTGCAGAAAGAGGTTAAAGGGCCCACGTCCTACTTTTTTTCTTGTGTTTATTTTTTTTGTTCCTGAAGTCCACTTTTAACATTTGTGTGATAACAAGAACTATTATAATGATATATGTACATGAGCTCTGTTCTGATAGGGCAGCCAATATTGTGCCTATTTCAATAAAAGCAGTCTGGCCTGAAGCAGTCCTTATAGTTGCCATCACAAAAACAGTGAATTCAAAACAGGCTGTTTTTGCAGCTTCTAAAACTGGACATATGTGTACATGTGGACTGTATGGACTGGGGAGTGAAAGGTATATTTTGGAACATTAACAATGTTTATATACTATATCAACCTCTTTTATTTCCAAAAAGCAAGGATTTTTTTTCCATGATTTGGGTCCTTTAAATCAGCCACAGATTATTTTGACAGTTAATCGAGTAGTCAGACCAAGTAATCAGGCTAAACAATAAAATTAAACAGTCATAAGCCATGCAGAGCCTTTCAAAGATTCCAGAATACTTTACTAGTAAAGACGATCTAGGAAGCCTTTAAAATACTGTTTCTTACTGTAAGAGAGAAAATCACGAGAATCTGTAATTCTAAAAATTCTCTTGCAACTTATTTCAAAATAACATTGCTGATTAATAGAGAATGTAAAATTGAAAAGATATTTTTTAAAATTGAGTGCTCAGTTATAATCAGGTAATAAAGTCCCAATTGCAGTTCTAGTTTTTTGTCCAAATTGTGCAGCGCTGCTGCTGTGTTTTGGATTGCACAGGCCACAGGCCTGTTTACTGTGATCAGCATTTCACTTCCGTAAGGGTCCTACTTCAGGAATGTCTGCATCATGAAACCTGATAGTCGTGGTAGAACACAAACAACTTTCTCTTTGGCAAAGATAGTCTTGGCACTTGTGGATAATCTCTCTCTCTCGCTCTCTCTCTCTCTCTCCCTGCCCCCCCCCCATTTCCTGGCTTCTAATTTCTGTCTGCCTTTCTCCCCCCGTATAGCTGTGTCTCCTGATGACTCCATGACCTCCACACGGATCTCCACCCGTGGCCTGCCCTCCATGGCCTCCATCAGCAGCGCCACTTCCGATGCCCGCTTCCATTTCAAATGGAGGGCCATCACAATGGTAACCATGCTAGTCCTAGGCCTACTACTCTATCTGCACCAGACAGCAGGGGGCGCCACAGATGACTCGCAGCACTTTACACAGCATCGCAGCAGCAACAATGATGCAAGGTTACGACGTCTGAACCGTGACACCAAGGAATGGTGTAACATGCCTTACAATGATACCTACCCACTAACGCCTCCGGAACACACGGCCAATGGCCTCCGCTACCGCATCGGCGTGATCGCAGACTTGGACACAAACTCACACAAAAAAATCCACAACACTTGGTTCAGCTACATGCGGAGAGGCTACGTGCTGGTGTCAGACAGCGGGGACAGTGTGGCTGTGGAGTGGGACCCAGACACAGTGGTGCTAGAAAGCCACTTGGCCGAGAAAGGGCGGGGCATGGAACTTTCTGACCTGGTGGCCTTTAACGGGCAGCTGTACAGTGTGGACGATCGCACAGGTGTGGTGTTCCGGATCGAGGGCAACAAGGCCGTGCCATGGGTCATCCTGCCTGATGGAGATGGCACCGTTTCCAAAGGTAAGAGGAGTTTAGGAGAGTTCCTTTTCCTTCATCTTTGTATTGCCTGTTTGTTTATTTAAAGCAATAGTTCAAGGAGTTTTTCTTAAAAATGTCATACATCTTTGTGTACTAATGTTGCACACACAGGCTCAAAAAGGTGCTCTGGCTCAGGCGAAAAACAAGCGTCATTCTAATGAAGATATGATGACAATAGTAAATAATTCAATTCATCCTCAGGAAACATGTCTTTGACTTAGTTCTACCGAGTTCTCTTTAAAAACTCTTTCAGCACGCTCACTAGCATCAGATTCATCTGCTCAGGGAAGGGGTCTGAAACACAGCTGACTTTAAAAATGTTCTTCTTCATGTTGTGTGGAGTTACACAGAGAGGTCGTCAAATCCCCAAAACCTAGATGGTTTAACTATATTTTACTAATGTAATGAAAATTGAAACAACAACAAATTAAACAATGTAACACTACAGTTGAAAACAACTCGAAGTCTCATTTTGAAGTTGTTACAATAAATGTGCGTTTATGAGCTCCTTCTGGTGTGGGTTCAAGCGACTTGCATGCTAATAGTGCCCCTCACTGGAGAAACTTCAGACTGCAACATCTGGCCTAAATGAGTTCCAAAAGCATGCCCACACGCTTTCATATATATGGATACAATGAAAAAAAATCAGTATTTTAAGTTGTTATTGCGGATACACTATGGAGTTCAGCTGAAGATGCCTGTGAGAAAATAAGAATTATTATATTTTAATAACTTCACAGTTGATCTGAACCATCGGGAAACTGAAGGTATATAAAATACAGAAATAAGAATTCTCCTCAGACACTGTGTTGCAGTCTGTTAAATTTATTCCACCATTTTTAATTGATAATGTTAATATTGGTGCCCCATGATAATCAAGCAAGCCTCTTAACTACATTAGTGTTGTAGCTCCAGTGCAAAACTAAAGAAAACTTGTGAACATTTTGAGTGATTAGCTACATTTTTCAAGTTTGGGCAATGTCTTCAACATATGGTTGTATTATGAGAAGAGACTATACAACTGTAGGAGGGGAGAGAATGTAGGCTGGAGTTGTGGGTGGCTTCTGCCTTGAGCTAGAAGACCAGTTACCCCCTGTTGCTGAACAGAAATATGACTGAGGAATAAGGAAGAAGATGAGGAAAGCTTTGTCACAGGAAATGGAAGGCTGAGATGGACATTTATAGGATGGAGGAGGAGCTTCAGGTGTTGCCCTGCTCCCAAACTTTGTTTATTTCATAACTATTTTGTCTATTTTATTTCACTAAACTATCGCTTTAACATATAATACTGCACTGCTCAATCCTGTCACTTGAATTAACACAGATAGCAAAACTGATTTTATTTGCTTATTAGGCTAAAAAAGAATCCTTATCATTTCATATCATCTCAAAGCTTATTTTAAATTCTAGACATGTAGACAGATCAGTATAGAAGTCAGTCTCATATATTTGATGTGACCCTCTGTATGTATGACAGGCTTTAAGGCAGAGTGGATGGCGGTGAAGGATGAGCACCTGTATGTTGGTGGGCTGGGGAAGGAGTGGACAACCACGACAGGCGAGTTTGTGAACAACAACCCGGAGTGGGTAAAAGTTATCGGCTTCCGTGGAGACGTGCGGCATGAGAACTGGGTGCCCCACTACAGCGCCCTGCGGATCGCCGCAGGCATCAAACCTCCTGGTAAAGCTGCTCAACTGCTCTGTGGAGGAGGTTCTAAATGTAGCGTTCTCAGCTCCAGCACTGGAGGCCCACTGCTTGGCAAAGTGTTCTGTTTATCCTGCTCTTCGGCTACTTATTAGGCCCTTCATACTACCCTACAAGTGTAAAGATGAAACTGCATAGCACAGTCATTCCTCAATACTGCAGCTGAGAATCCCTGCGTGATAATGGTAATAAATAAGTGGACTCACTTTAAGGGCTGGACATTGTGGCAAATATAGAGTACTGTGCAAAAGTCAAAGACCACCATTCATTTATTTAAATTCCAGTAAAAATGGCCACTGGTTACAAGTCATTTTTAGGAGATATTTCAGAGGAAATCAGATATAAGATTGTTGGCTTGCATAAGAAAAGAGAAGGTCAAAGGAAAATACAAATTATTAAAAATGACCAAGCTCCGCTTTTGCTTCAGATCTAAAAAAACAAAAAACAAACAAAAAAAAAAACAAATCCACTAGTGTTTCTGGCCATCCTTCCATTGAGAGAAGACACCTCAACATTATGAGTCCTATGAAGGATGTGTAGCTGTTAAGAAACCTTTACTGAGAAATGAAAATAGACATGAGAAGAAGGACCTTTATAAATCAAACAAAGAAGCTGCTGGTGTTCTCAAAACAACAGACTGACCAGCCCAGAGTCCAGATATCACTGAATGTGTTTGGGATTACTTGGATAGTGAGAAGTAGAAAATGCAAAACCAACTTCTAAGACTGAACCTTGGAGGTGTGGAAAAATATCCCTGCAGGTTTCTTTGAAAAACAGAAAAGACTGGAAATAAAGGTAAGGGGTGGACACATTAAATACTGAAAAAAAGATAAATATATTTAGTTGTTGAGGATTACTGTGTGAGTTTGCCTGTTCTCCCCGTGTCTGCGTGGGTTTCCTCCGGGTACTCCGGTGTCCTCCCACAGTCCAAAGACATGCGGTCAGGCCGATTGGACGTGCTAAATTGCCCCTAGGTGTGAGTGTGTGTGTGAATGTGTATGTGTAAGCGGTTTAGATGATGGATGGATGGATGGATGGATTACTGTGTAATTTTCTGTTAAATATATGTTTTCTGCTTTTTCCTGATGCTACAAAAAGTACTTAATGGCAATTTTGGCTGGAAATTAAATAAATAAAGGGTGGTCTCTGACATTCGCACAGTACTTTGAAAAAGAAAATTATGGGGTGGAAATTTAAGGTTGTAAGCTTTGGATGTTGTAAACCAATTTGGCAACAGTTATTTTTACTCTTCAAATAATGACATACATGATTAATAATTTGGCAAAAAAATCTAACTTTTAAGTTTCCTCCTTACCCCAAATGTCATGAAGAGTGCAGAGTGCATGACCAAATATCATCTGAATCAGAGGTGTCCAATCTTATCCAAACAAGCTGGAGTGCACCTGATTCCACTTGTTTAATCAGTTGGTTTCAGTCTTTGAACTGCTGTTTAGGTGATCTCCTGCTTTGTTGGAATGAAAACCTGCAGCCACACTGGCCCTTTGTGGATAAGATTGGACACCCCTGACCAAAATCAACCAAAACAAACTTTGAGTTGTTAATTAATCCCAGCTAGACTTGCATATGTGGTTTCTGACATTGCTAGACATACTATTACCTATAAAAATGGACTAAAGTACAGCACATAGTTAAAAACAGTAAAAGGTGCCACCTGAATTTGTCTGTACTTTTGTCCAGTTTTACAAGAGCCTCATAGCTTCAGTACCACAATAAAGAAACTTCTTGTCTTGTTGGTTTGATTTGGCGTAAGAGGAAAATTCCATGTTTTGCGGAACTGCTCCTTTCAGACCTAGTCAAAAATACATGTGGAATTTGGGTCAGAATCAAGCCATGCAGCATCAAGGGACAAGGGGGACAGCTTTGAAGCATTAAGATGCATTATTCAAAATTTCTGACATTTTGTATGTAAGAGTCAAAAACTCAATGTAGTGTGATCTTTTGCACCCCCCTTTAGGTTATCTAATCCACGAGTCTGCAGCATGGAGCGACCGTCTGCAGCGCTGGTTTTTTCTGCCCCGCCGAGCCAGCTCCGAGCGCTACGACGAGACAGCAGACGAACGTCGTGCCACCAACCTGGTGCTCAGCTGCCCGACCGATTTCAGTCAGGTCTCTGTGTCCCATGCTGGACCACTGTTGCCCACCCACGGCTTCTCTTCTTTCAGGTTCATCCCTGAAACGGACGACCAGATCGTGCTGGCGTTGAAGTCCGAAGAGGACGCAGGCACCATCGCCACCTACATCACGGCCTTCACATTGGACGGTCGCATCCTGCTGCCTGAGACAAAGATCGGAGACGTGAAGTACGAGGGTCTGGAGTTCATCTAGACAAGCCTATTTCCTGCCAGCTCAGCTGGCGAGAGGGGACAGAGGGGATCTTGGTGCTGAACCGTCCATGATCAGTGCAATGTTGTAGAAATGTCATGAACAGATTAGAGGGGGGTATTTCAGGAACCAGGAATTCTTAGCCAGATAACCTAAGCCCTGTTTGACAGGAGGAGTGAGGATAAGCGATATTGCAAAGGTATATCATGATACTTGAGGACATTTTCACAGTACACAATGTGCATCATGCTGTTTGATTTTTCTGAAGCATAATGTGGTCATATCCCATCAGCTACTTGTTACTATGCAGTTTATACTATTACTATACACTGGTTCAGCTGTTCAGTGTTCTAGAAGTTCTGACGATACCAATGATATACTCAGAAAAGCATGTAACTATGTAATTATACATCTTATCATGATAATACAGGGGTAGCAATATGGTGATAATTATTGTTAATGTCAAATTGTCACATCACAGCATGCTTTTTGAGTATATTGTGGATATCTTTAGTACTTATAGGATATCTTTAGTACTTTAGCGAAAGCCCTGGTGGCGTTTTCTACTGCAAGGAAAGCGACACTACTCTGCTGTCGCCAGGAGAGGGTGCACTTCCGAATTTTTCGACTTGATTAGAGAGGGAGGGGGCCACGAGTAAAAAAAGGTCGCCAAATATACTTTAGCAACGGCTGAAACGCGGAGTTATACAGTCCCTGTTTGAGTGGAGCGACCGGCGATCTGTTCTCCTGTGACCGAGTGTGAGTGACGAGATCAGTGGTGTAACTGTACTGACCTACAGCGAACTCACCTCTTTCCGTGCATCCTAACAACTTTAGCGGTGTTAAATCACGTCTGCAGCGCCAAACCGTCATATTTTAGTATTAGTGCATTCTCGAGCAACGAAAGTGAAAGAAAGAAGTGGGTTCATGTTCGATAGTAAACTGAGGAAGCTGTGAGGCAACACGGTGAATTGATGATACGGTAGATCAAACAAGACACAAAATCACCGCTTTCAGTTTAAACATACCTAAAAGGAGGACTCTGTTTGTCTGGTGTGAGAGATTCACACTGCAGATAATGCTTTTACACAGCGAACGTCAGATATACTGCGGTTCACCCCTTAAACTACTGCGATAGCATAGAGAAACCCAGTCGTCGCTAGCTGGTGTCTGAATACTGTGATCTGCTCTGACATGGATGTGGTAGGAGTGACAGCAGTGACCTACCGAACCGAGTTGACGTTGAGAAAGAGTTTAGCACTGTTGTTGGCCACTTGTTTAGCATTTGTAACGGGGTAGCCAAGTGCTCGTCACCATACAGCTAAAAATAATCTGTTTTCTTTCTTAAATCATGACTATTACAAAAATTGCAGCCATGCTTTTCAAGCTGATAAAAACAGCTCAGAAACTTTCTCCCGCTCTTCTCTTTAGTGAAATGTTCCACTGTTTGGTGAGTGTTTGTCATGATCGGACCATAAGTGATAGTTTAAAACCACAATTAACCACCCAGGAGCAAAATCAGCCTTCAAACGTGAAAGAAATCATGATTTGACATTTATCGCGATATGTATCGATATCAAACGATATGAATTTTGTTTATCGTGATAACGTTTTTGGCCATATCGTCCAGCTCTACCTACAAGTAATGGACACTGCACTCATTTTGGGCTTAAGTTATCTAGCTCACTGAAAAATCTTGTTTTGTGAAATGCCCCCTCCGCTTTTCTTCTAATATTTCTATATAGGCTTCTAGTGGTGCCACTGCACCCTTCTGAATGCACCCATTTGTCTAGGAGTCACCATGGAGATGCAAGAGAACAAGCACCTGACACCTAGGTTGCCATGGTGAGGGAGACAGATGAGAAAAGAGAAAGAGAAGCAGGTTTATCATGTCAGGTTATAAGCACATGTGCTGTGAAGTCCAGCTGTGGGCTGTTGTGGGCCGCATCATGGAGGCAAACAGTGCTGCTAAAGACTCAGGGGTTTTCAAGTAAAAACGCACAACATAGTCTAACTCTAACCAAATGGAATAACTTTAACTAAAAGATTAAGTAACATGGCAAAGAAATGAATTTATTTAAGTTTTATTTCAGATATTTTCATTGCCAGCTTTTTAAAAATGCAGTAGTCCTAAACACTAAAGTGAGTGTTTTTATTCTTGTTTTATTCTCTTGTTTTAAAAAGCTGCTGAACTGCACATACATTTTGAATGTGACTCATCTGAGTTCTGACCATCAGGGATCAAAAATGTTAAACAGTCTTGGTCTTGGCACATAAACATTAAAATTAAGGTGCTTGAACACCTGTTATTCAAGAATGTGTTTGTTCTACCAGTGAATGGCACTTTGTCCAGCACATCATCAACCACAGAACAGCAGGCTTTGCACATCACAAGCTTTTAAGTGCTTTTGTCCCTGACAGGAGGAATGGAAGTATTCTGGTGTATTTTTACATTTAAAAACACTGTCCATTTCTTCCTAATACAATCCAAGTTGTGATCACATTAAGGAGTTAAAGAAAAGAAAATTAAATGATCCCACCCAATACTACAAACTTTTGTCCAAATTGAGTAAAAATTCTGTTATTTTATAATGTTTTACTTTAGTAAACACTATGAGTGGCTTTCATTCAACTGAATAATGTCTGTTAAACAGTCCAAAGTCATAGTTTTGTTCCCATGAGGACCAGGCCTGCTTGCAGTCCCTCCACTTTGAGCACATGGAGCAGGCCCAGCGTCCTGAGGAAATCCAGCATTCTCTTGTCACTTGATCTGAATTCGCAGAATACCCCTATGGAGCCTGAAGAACACCAAGCAGAAATCAGAATCAGAACCACTTTGGTTTCTCCAAGTATGTTACATATACAAGGAATATGTCTTGGTGTGTGCAGACATGTATGATATGCAACATACTGAACAGACCTTACAGCACACAGAGTTTCAACATATAATTAAGGGAATAAAGAATAAGAGAGTAGATAATGTGAGGCAATGTGAAAGGAGCTAAAAAGATATGTGAATATCTGTACATATGCATTTAAATGTTTATCTATACATATGAGCAAAATTGAGGCAAAGGCAGCATTTTATAAACTGAACGAAGTCTGGTAACAGAAACTTTAGGCACAGTTTCACTGTGTGATTACAACATATTCAGTACATGTTGAAAGTGACCGGTCACTAGTGAGCCAAGTGTAAGTGCTAAATAACAAGGCATGAGTCAGCAGTGAATGCCACCTCACCGCAAGTCTCCAGTTGTATGACTTGCTAGATGAAAATGACTAAGTTTTGAAATGCATGATTTACTGTGATACTGTCACCTACAAATTATAGCTACATAAAATCATTAGAGGCCTCATGAGACCTACAATTATTGCTGCACAATATCCAATGTCTAGATGTGCTGCAAGTACAGACTACTTTTTGCTGTGTGAATAGAAATCTAACCTCTCTTTCAGGCAAACAGCAAAAAAATCTAAATTACAAAAGCACTATTCACTATAGTGCAAAGTAAAACACACACAAACACACACACACACACACACACACACATACACACACACACACTGGACGGGCCACCAGTCCATATCAGGGCAGACAGACAGACATACACATTCACACTCACACGTAGGGGCAATTTAGCATGTCCAATTGGCCTGACTGCATGTCTTTGGACTGTGGGAGGAAACCGGAGTACCCGGAGGAAACCCACGCAGACACAGGGAGAACATACAAACTCCACACAGAAATGACCCTGGTCACCCGGCCAGGAATGGAACCCAGGCCATTCTCGCTGTGAGGCGACAGCGCTACCCACTGCGCCACCGTGCTGCCCCGCAACGTAAAATAATGAAATATAATACTTGCTTATCAGAATTGCAAGCACATTTTTTGTGTACTGTAAGGCTGAACAAGAACACAGAGTCACTGATGCATAGCACTGCTCCTATGAAGCATCAAAAGCTACGTGTCTGCTAATGGCTCCACCTTGTGGACAATGTGCAGCCTGTGAAAAGTGAGTTGCATGAGGTGCTTCAGTCTGAACAGCCTTTTCTCTTTGTGTTTGCAGTCAGACTACAAACATGAATAAATATGTATGATGTTCTTTACAATACAGGTCTACAAAAATGAATAAATATATATTTAATTCCTTAAAAAGCTCCTTATGATGATGCAGGTTTGTGATAGTAGCCATTACTGCTTTATACACTAATATATAGTTTAAGCATTTTACACACAACACAGAGTGAGAACAGTCATCGAGTTGTAGTTGGGCATCTAACTCTATATTTCCGTCGCTTTGGCGCTGCATGTGTGAGGTTATTTGATGTGTACTGTCACTGCCTTTAAGGATGCGTTTATCATGGAAACTCATATCGCAATAATGACAAAGATATTTATTCAGTATTTCACACCACTGACAGTATGTATAAAATTAACTTACCACTCTCCTTCAGTGAAGAAAGCACACTGCTGATCAGGCGCTTGGCAGTGTTGGGGTCCGGGACTCTTGGATGGATTTGAATAGCCATGAGGGAGGGGAAGTCTCTCAGCATTGTTTCAGGATACTACAGCAGAACAAACAGTGGTGCAGAAATATTTATTCAATACACAAAAAATAGCCTACAAACTTCTCTTCTCATGATGGTGATGATGTCCATGTCACTTACCTGGGATTTAGTCATCGCAGTCTTGGCGTCAGTGAGGGCAAAAGCGAAGCCACAGAGTCCTGCTTCATCCTCCAGCACAAGATCGCAGTATTTAGATGGGGAAAGCTGACCATCCACCAGCCTATAAGCATGAACACACAGACTAAATAATCTGACTCTGCTGGTTCCCTCCTTTGCCACTGCACTGAACCTGAAATAGTTTCTGGCACTTCAGCAACAACTGTAATCTCACCTGTCACCAATTAATGCCGCCTGCTGCAGTGTCTCGCTCTGCATCTCCTTGGACAATCTCAGTACCTCAGACTACAATACACAGACACGTACACAATAAATACTCATTCTAAAAGGTAATCCAATACATTTTTGCATAATTAGACATAAACAAAGTCATTCAAAGTGCACCAATCTAGGGAAACTTACCGAGCAGTAACCAGACATTTAATGCCTCTAAAACCTACCTCACAGAATGTTATTACATGAAATGGCTACTTGATGCCCGAGACACTGTTTTACAGAGGTAAGTGCAGGGTGCTGTACAGCCAAAAAAAGGAAAACTTTTCTTTGTTGTTAATTTACCACTATTT